CAATTTCCTCCAGGTACTCAATGGTCCTCTCCTCCGCAGGCTTTAATCCAGGACCTGGAGTGAACAAACACAAGGTTTAAATTTCTCCTAAGCCTGCCTAGAGCTATAAACTCTGGAAGTTTCCAGCATGAGGACAGGATTATCCTTTCCACAAAGCACAGCGAAGACAAAATGCTGCAGTTAGAACATACCCAGAGGGTCCACAAGCTGGTTCACTAAGCCCATCTTCTTCGCTTTATCAGCCCTGATTCTCCTGCCTGTCAGCATCATGTCAAACGCATCAGGGAGACCCACCTACATACAAGTCACACACACACACATGTGAGCAACAAGCAGATTGATATTCATCTGAAATCTCCCCACAGCAAGCACCTTGACCTTAGTGTACTCCAGAGTAAGTCAATAGTCAGTTATGTAGCACAAACATGTGGCAGTTCTTATAAGACAGTAACTGATAATATGAGCGTGTTTGTGTGTGTTTGTTTCTTATACCATTTTAGGAAGTCTCTGAGTGCCACCCGCTCCAGGTAAAAGTCCCAGCATGACCTCTGGCGTCCCTAGGACCGTCTTTTTGGATCTTGTGGCGATTCTGTACTGGCAGGCTATCGCGAACTACAGAGATGACATGTGATCAAAGCTTAGTGGTCAAATCTTAGTTTTCATAACCAGCATTTTTGCCACAAAACACACAAAAAGAGCTTTACCTCCAGGCCTCCGCCGAGGCAGGAGCCATGGATGGCAGCAACGATAGGAATGGGTGACTTCTCAATCTGCTCAAACATCTTCTGACCTTCTTGAGAGAGGCGTGCGGCCTCCTCGCTGCTCTGACAGGACTGGATCATACTAGAAAAGAAGGGAAAGAACTTCAGAAGGATAGCACTTCTAGCAGTTAGAAGAAGAGACATATTTAATCAGGAACAACTGCTGGCCCCCTGGTGGACATTAGAAAGAATGCTGCGGTCTATGGTGAAAAGGCAAGTGTTGAACTTCAGTTTACTACATCTTTAAAGGAGGTTTACTTGATATCTGCTCCGGCGATGAAGCAGCCAGGCTTGCTGGAGATGAAGACAGCGCTTTTCACAGATTTGTTCGACCAGATCTCCCCCATCACCTCTTTCAGATCAGACTGCATCTGCGACGATAGTGTGTTCACCTGTATGGCCACACACACACACACACACACACATTAATACACACGGCGCCACACACATACTCTGATTAATCATGTCACATGTGCCAGTGAGAGACTAAGACAGGGAGTCAGGACTGTCACAAACATAATCTCCCTTTTTCTGATATGCATATACTTGTTTACGCCCTCCCCCATAAAAAAACAGGTACACACACACATACACACACACACACACACCTTGGCTGTTGGATCATGAAGTCGTACAACTGCCACATCATCCTTGAGCTCGTAGCTGACGTGTGTTCGAGCTTGATGGAGAGAAACAATTATAATCAAAAGAGAGGGCCAACACTATTGTATCATTTTAATTTCTGCTGTTTTCACATTATCCCAGGAGAATATTAGAAGAGGGTCGCACAAACAAGCCTGAAGGACCTCTTTAATTACTTAATAATTACTCTAACTTTAATTAGAGTTAATAAGACTATACTGATATATATAAAAGAAAACATATTTATATTTTCATTTCATTGTACAGTGTTCCCCTTTGTTATTTTTTTTGTATTATATCTTTGTTTTAATACAGTGTATCGCTTCTGTACAGTTTATTTTAATTTACTTAGCTGTTACCACAACTTTTTTTTTTTAATTTGTACTTTTCTTATAATGCTATTCTATTTTACATATAATTTTAACTTTTTTGTAGAAGCTGACTCAGGGAGAAACGCACACAAATTCCAACGTACCTGCACTGTCCTGTACCTGTGCAAACGGCAATAAACATCTATTCTAGTCTATTCTTAACACAAAATATCTGCATTAGAAATGACAGCTGCTGAAAACACTGTTAAGTTAAAATGGTGCAAACTAAACTGCTTGTACATTTGTAGATCATTTTAATGAATGACCTAAAAGGTGACTAAGTTATAATTACGCTATTCTTAACAATTCTAAGAAGCTCATATGTTTTATTTATCTTTTTTTTTAAAAGTCCTTAAAGTGTTCATCAGTCATGAAAATATAATTAAAAGTAGAGACCGACCGATTAATCGGCCGGCCGATAATATCGGCCGATATTAGCTTATCCCATGACTATCGTTATCGGCTAATTTTATCGCAGATATGCGCCGATATTACTTGATTTATTCAGCGGTTGAATAGCATTTAATTTGAGTATTGTTGTACGACACTAACAGTTCTCTCTCTGGCTGTAACCAACGGAGGGCGCTGTATGGATTATCACAAACAATATTCACAGCCAGAGTGTCAAGTGGTGATGCACTGACACGCAATTCACACATACTCCGTGAATTGAACATTGCTCCATCGGACGGCTCGCACCCATTCACACTGGATCTGTTTCTGGGACATCAGCGCACCCATGACACGTCACAGGAGAACTACAAGATCCCGCGGGAATAAAGAGAAAAACATGCAAACAACATGTTGCTTTGTCTTTCTGAGGATGCATTGTTGTTAATTCGGTTCCCGTTTTGACGTCATGTTGATAAAGTGATGAAAAATACGATCGCGAGTCCGTATATTATGTTTTATTTTGAAATTGACCGGATGCTCTGTGGGTTTCCTTGTCTCACTTCCTGTCCGGGCTGTCATATTCTGTCCAGCTTGATGCGTTCCTGCAGCGCACTCCGGTAAAAATAGAGCAGAGCGCAGTGCCGTCGGTTGCTCGCTCCGGAGACGGACCGCAGCGCGCCCTGTGTGAACACAATGATAGACTAGAGTGGAGGCTAAGTACAACGTAGTGCGCGGCGCTGACAGGCCGCGGCGCACGGAGTATGTGTGAATTGGGCTTTACATGCGCGGTTACTTTCCAGTTTCCATCTTCTCTTCCCTATTTTATATCTTTCTCACAAGTGTTTGATAACTGCATTCGAGAGATCAACACAATAAATGTGTATATCTATATATATATATATATATATATATATATATATATATATATCTACAGATGGGACATAGATCTAAGAAAGATATCGGCCGATATATCGGTATCAGATTTTTTCTCTTCCTAAAATCGATATCAGTATCGGCCCCAAAAATCCCAATATCAGTCTGGACCTAATTTAAAGTGATCAAATCTTTCAATACTTAAACATGTTACTCAACATTTTTTTAAACTTATAAAAGACAAACTACTGCTACCTTGTGATCATAACAAGGACTCTTATATAAAATGTAACCATGTAACCATAACATATATAAATAACTATTTATGTTTACTATAACTATTTATGGATTGGTCATCAACGTCTGGCGACTCCCTCTCTGACAGGTTGTATTTAAGATGATGTTCACATTTATATTTAGTGTTTGGAGAAACTAACTCATCTCGTCTCAGAGCAGAAGTTTATTTTGTGTTTGTTTGTCTTTTTTAACCTCCATAGAGCTGTTTTCTTTTTCTTTTCTTTTTTAAAATTTCATTGAAATACAGTATAATAAGGTGTAGCAATGTACAAACAAAGGCTGTGGAGAAGAAGCTGCTAAACACAGATGTAAACAATACCGGTGCAAGATAAATAAGGCTCTGCAAACATCAAATAAGGAAGAACAACCTTTTTAAACTTCTGTTACAGCTCAAGGATAGACATAGTGTGTGTTTACGAGTCAACACATGCATGCAAACATAACTCTTGTTTGTAAGGAGGAAAAACTCTTCGGGGGAACTTGAAGACATTTGTTTAAGATTATTTACGAAGCAAGTAACTGTATGTTTGAGCTGACATTTGAGTAAAAATGTGACAGAGAACAGGAGAATGTAGAGTCTGGACAGGACTCTTTAATTCACCTCTGCTCTGGTCTTGAAACTATCTTGAATTTATCATTTATAATTAATGAGCCAATAAGAATGAAGCTTTTATTTACCTGCCAATGTTGACGACATTGAGAAGCTGCGACTGGCACGACCTGGGAAACAGACAGAGAAAGCAAATAATTCATTTTTTAATTAACCAATTCATAATTCGGGCCAATAGAGATGTAGAAAATGACCACTACACCTACATGTTCCCAATTAACAACAAACCCCATATTTATAATAATGTAAACCAGCATACAAAGTCTAAACTAACCACCCATATTAAATTGAAACAAAGCCTAGATTTTGTAAAATATTAAGCCTATAATCTCATTAGTAATTAACTACCTTATACTTGAATATGTTTCATATTTTAAAGTTTTAGTTTTGCTTAATATCATGCCTGTTAATGGTGTTAATGTTAAACTTGTTTTTGTTTTTAACTCTGTAAAGTAAGGCACTTTTAATCTCTATATATGAATGGTGCTCTATGAATAAACTTACTTTAAAAAGTATAAAAAAGAAGAAAAGTAGATAATGTATGCATACAATAAAAACTATCTCAGTTGAAATAGAAAATTCACTGACAGATGGAGGCCAGTCTCTGATAACAAGTCTTTTAAAAAAATTTTTTTTTTAAAGAAACGCAATTAAAAATGTAACTAATAAATTGTTGATTTGCTACATACCTGATAATAGGTGATACTTCCCAGTTGCAAACTTGGAAAAAACACCGACAGCACGAACAACCGCCATATCCACCTTAAGATCTATTACCGAAGAAGAAAACTGATGATGAAACCACTCACACAAAATACTCGCACTGTTGGTTGGAGGCGCTAGAGTACCTGCAGGTCTGACAGGTGGCTGACACACTGCCGTGTCGTAAAATGAAATCGTAAAAAAAAAAAAAAATGTGTGTAAACTATCTTAACTAAAAAAAGATAAATCTAAAAGATATTATTTTGGATCACTTGTCATGGTATTAAACTCTTAATTGGTTCGCAATCAGGTGCGATGAGTTTTGCTCAGGCGACTTTCTGGTCAGCTGACACAGTCTTGGGTCCTTCAAAGCGTAGTTCGGGAGCTGCTGCTGAGTGTCGGATCGTTTGACAGGTGAAGCGGAGTGTCAGACATAACGCGCACAGGTAAGCTTCGGTGGGCCTGTCACTATCTGGGATAAAACATTATAAAGACAGAAGATGTGGTTTGAATTGTGAGCGTTACGTTCGTCCTTTTATAAACACAGGAATCTGTGAACTTTAGCTAACACCTAGCATCACTAGCTTGCCTCCACCTGGCGTCTCGATTAATCGTTTTTAGGTCGTTTGTGCGAATGAATGTCGTGAAGTTACCTCAAGTCACTAAGTTTCTAGATGTTATGTGAACAGTTTTGACCCTTATTGTGTCCCGTGGTTCTGTAATTCTGTCTGTGTCATTCTCCAGGAGAGGAATCTGGGTGAAGGGTCACAGTCAGAGGAGGGGGGGGGGGGAGGGGGGAGGGGGGGGGGGGGTGACGGTCAATGAAAAGTCAAACAACATAATGAAACTTTATGTATTTATATTTTATACTGAAGCCGTGTGATAGGTTATAGATTTGACAGTTTTACTAGATTAAAAGCCCATTGGTGTGTAATGTGGAGCAAAAGAGGAAGAGTTCAGTCTCAATAAAATAAAATGACTTTATTGATCTAAACATAATATAATATTATAAATAAGTACTAAAAAAATATAAAAACTAAGAATGTGAATATATACAACCAGGATTTAACTAAGCATTACTAGTCTTAAATATGAAAGATTAAATATGGAAGATTAAATGTAAATTTGCAAGTACTAAAAATAAATAATAATAATAATAATAATAATAATAATAATAAATAAATAAATAAGTACTAAAAATATCAAAACTAAGAATGTGAATATATACAACCAGGATTTAACTACGCATTACTAGTCTTAAATATGAAAGATTAAATATGGAAGATTAAATGTAAATGTGCAAGTACTAAAAATAAATAATAATAATAATAATAATAATAAATAAATAAATAAGTACTAAAAATATAAAAACTAAGAATGTGAATATATACAACCAGGATTTAACTAAGCTTTGTGGTGTAGTTAGACCAGTCAGACTGCACTGTTTTGTGATAATGACCGTGATAATAGTATATATAGTCTCACTAATGATGGCTTATGCAGTTTAACATATTTAACATGATGGCATGTGTGAATTCAGACAATGAGAATGTGAATGTTATTGTTTTGTACATCCACTGCTTTGGCAACAACAATTTTGATCTGTTCATGCCAATAAAGCAACATTAACTTGAATTTGAGAGCCTAATCCCTTTGGATGAACATTACCATTAAATGTATGATCCGTCCAACTCTGTTTTTTATTGGTTGTTTAAATATAACGTGAGCACATGACAGATTACTTGTAGGATTTAGAACAGGTTCATCTTGCTCTTCTTGATTTATATTTTGCCTGTTATTGTGTTGTTGTAATTATTATTTCTTTTATTGTCTTTTTCCGTTTTACCTTGGACTTTTAAATAATGTAACCTGCGGGGATTTTACATTTCTGGTTTGTATGTACCGACCCCAGGAAGAGTAGTGTCTACATAAGTAAATAAAAAGAAAACGGATTGACAAGTTTGTGAAAAGGAGCACGTGTATCATCATCTGCTCATTCATAAGTTTAACAAACTAAAAGAAAATCAGCCTAAAACACTTCAGAGAGGTTATACTGAAACGTTTTAATTTAAATGTTCATTCTAGTTGTTCATTCATCGTTCTGGCCACTTAAAAGATTCTATTTTTAAGTGCTCTTGACCTCTACAGTCATGCAGAAAGCTGGTTCTGTCCTCCTCTCTGATTGTATTTGTATGTTCTACATACTGGATGTGTTGTGTGCAGCCCAGTTTAACTGCAATTATTATTATTTATTTTAAGAACGCAGTGTCTTTCTTGAACCACAGGGATCTTACTAGGTGCATTTACGTTTCCGTCAGAACCCGGGTTATAACTCCTCTAATATTTCACGTTTTTCTCTCAAGAACAAAATGGCTTCCATGTTGCTGACGACGATGCGGAGCTGCCACGTCAGCCCTTCCTTGGCGATGCGGTTTGGTAAGGTTTTTAATTCTCCCAATTTGTTTTGCATTTTAACTAAAATGATTGTCGACAAAGATCTGCATCAGATACATCAGCTGACGTATGTTTGTAACATGTGTTATGAATACTTAAAATATATCAGCAGTCATAAAAAATATCATCTTTGGCCACTTTCTGTTTTTCACTTGACTCTGATTAGTGAATCCATTCTCAGATAAACACATCTTGTTTTCTGATGTTGTTGTTTCTTATTATATACTGATAATTACTCCTGATGTTTCATCATATGATGGTGAGATCATTGAAATAATATAAAAGTAGATGATAAGGAATATTTGTCTGTGTGTCCCAGGGGCCCGCTCTCTCAGTACGACAGCTCAGCTCCAGGCTCAGGGTAAGTCCACATTTTGGTCATCTTAGCGTCCGGCAGTGAGGTGCATGTATAAGCAGCCGGTTCAGGAGGATATCCGCAGCAACACTCCTGGGTATTTTCAGTAGTGCATATGTGAAAACTGCTTGGGTCCGTTAAGCTGCTCTCTTTTTCATGTTTCAGTTCAGACAAAAAGCAAAAAGACACTGGCCCGGCCTGGTGTGAAGAACATAGTTCTGGTGGAAGGAGTCCGAACACCTTTCCTGTTGTCTGGAACCACGTACGTCTGTGCTCTTCTCTCATTGGTTAATTCACTGAGGATGTGGAGTGTGTTGTATCGATAAGAAAGTTACTCAGAACACGCTGTTAGACATGGAGATGAAGACAAGAACACTGTTTGCTTCAAATATTGAATTGTCAAAGAAAGTCTTTCGTCAGATGTTTGAAACAAACTGTGCTTGAAGGTAAAAAGAAATGCTTTGTGTTTACAGATATGCTGATCTCATGCCACACGACTTGGCCAGAGCAGCTCTGCAGTAAGTCTTCTGTCTTTCTTTTCTTTTTTTGTTTTAGTTTAAGTGACACCAGAAGACTTCTCTTCTGCTTGTGTTGTCGTTCTTTTTCCTTTATCTCCTTGTTTATTTGAATTTTAAAAAGCCTCTTTAACATCAAGGCCAGGGGACTACAGATGAAAAGTAGATGTATAATCACGTGTTTTATTAATGCGCACCGTCCACTTCCTAAATAAACTGAATTGAATTCAGAATGAAAACCTCCTAAATGAAAGTTGAACATTGGCTGAACTCGTGTCAAAAGTTCTGAGTTATGTGTGAGCGCTTCACTCGGGGTTGCCTTTTTTCTGTCTCCGTTCTGTCTTATTATCACAAGCCTGTTTCTCATTTTCTCAGAGTCTTTATGCATTTTGGTGTGACTGAAATGTTCCCATTTGGGTTTCCACAGGGGTCTGCTCAACAAGACGGGTGTACCCAGAGATGCTGTGGACTACATCATATATGGGACAGTCATTCAGGAGGTCAAAACCAGCAATGTAGCACGAGAGGTATCATCACACACACACACACACACACACACACATATATATAAGACACCTAATGGTCTCGTGGCCTCTCATATGTTACATTCACTCTCTTTAAGCTTTAGCATTACAGAATCCTTTTGAAACAAATGAGCGTACTTTGAGCTGCTTATTTCTGATGTGCACCTCACTCATTTTTTTCATTGTGATCTGCAGGCAGCTTTGGGTGCTGGCTTCTCCGACAAGATCCCAGCTCACACCGTCACTATGGCCTGCATCTCCTCCAACCAGGCAATGACCTCAGGTAGGAGCTCTATAGCAAATATCTGCTCTACACTCACAACTTCACTTTGCAAGAGAAAAGAAATAAAGAAAAGCAAAGTTCCAATGAATGCAGAATGTCTTTTTTGATTTTCATCCAAAACGAAACACCCAGGAGGAGTTGGCAGGTCATGCTTTTTTAAAAATGTTTTCCAGGTAATCAAAAACTAATAAAATATCATGAAGAATACCTACTACATTGTTAATTTATGTTTTAATTGTTGGCTCAGACGCTTTGATATTGGCACGAAAAACTTGAAACATCTATATTTATATCATGACGGCTTTAAGACTTTGGTATAAAAATACATTGTCACATCATGGCAGGTTGAAGATGAAGTCAGACAGTCAGGTTGACGTTTCTATCCAGATACGTGTCATGACCTTGGACTGTACGCAGGCGGACGATGCAATCTCTGTGCACAAACTGAAAGTACTTCATAATGTTTACAGTTTGCCAGTTTGTTCTTTCTGCTCCTTTGTTGATATTCTGAATATTTTAAACTACTCGAAGCGCTGACGTACTTGGATATGAACGCAAAGTTCTCATCATGGTGTCAGACTCTGTGGCTTTGACCGCCACTACAGCGCTGAGCCCGACAGGGAGAGTCTCCCACTATTAGGTTCACGTGTGAACAAGCAAGTCAGGAAGAACTCAGGGGCAGTTTGTCTAAAAGTTTCTAGAAATGTTCTGAAATGTTTTATTTAGTGATCCCCGTCCCCACTCTGTTTGACCTTTTTGTTTGTCTCTTCCTTCTTCCTTCTCCAGGTGCCGGTCTGATCGCTGCAGGCCAGTGTGACGCCATTGTTGCAGGAGGCGTCGAGTTCATGTCCGACGTTCCCATCCGTCACAGCCGTAAGATGAGGAAGACCATGCTGGCCCTCAACAAGGCCAAAACCGTCGGACAGAGGCTCGGTCTGATCGGCAGCATCCGCATGGCTCACCTCGCCCCAGAGGTACAGATTCACCCAAAACCTCCCAGAGAGTGTCTCACTGATCCTCCAGAGCTCCAGAAATCAGATCGCTCTTTGTATACTGTGCACTCTTTCCTCCTGTAACTGTGTATCATTTGTGCGTAGCTTCCCGCAGTGGCTGAGTTCTCCACAGCTGAAACCATGGGTCACAGCGCCGATCGTCTGGCCGCTGCATTCGGGGTCTCCAGACTGGAGCAAGACGAGTTTGCTCTGAGGTCACACACTCTGGCCAAAAAGGCGCAGGACGGCGGCCTGTTGGAGGACGTCATCTCCTTCAAAGTGCCGGGTAAACTCAGCTCCACTCTTCAGTCTCAAACACACCACACATCACACAGTGAAGGGTTATGATGTGTGAAGGCTCTGACACACCAAGAACATCGTCGGCCGTCCGTCCTAGTTGCACTTCCTGTCTCTCTTTAGCTGTCCTATCCAATGAAGGCACAAAAGGCCCAAAAAAACATCTAAAAAAGAAACAGACAAGATTTGAAAGACCAAGCAGTAAAATAATAACTAAACTAAAACTAAAGAAATAATGTATTTTTTTAAAATAATTTAAAATGAATAAAAAATATAATTGTGTATTTAGAAATAAAAAATTAATTCTAAAATGATCAAATGTGTTCTTGTGTCTAAAACTACTAAATAGAAATCATCAGTCTTATTCACAGTATTTTATAATAAGAGGAATGTAAAGGGCTTTTTTTTAACAATTTGATTTTAAACAAATAGAATAGTCAATATACTCGTCTGTAAATTAAAACTGTATTGAAAAGATTAAAAAAAAATTAAAAAAATTGTACACTGATTGTGTTTTTTTTTTTTTCAGGTCGTGACATTGTGTCCAAGGACAACGGCATCCGTCCCTCCTCCATGGAGCAAATGAGCAAACTGAAGGCCGCCTTCGTAAAACCTCACGGCACTGTCACCGCCGCCAACTCTTCCTTCCTGGTACACACACACACACACACACACACACACACACACACACACACACACACACACACACACAGGCCCTGCAGCACTCTCCGTGTTCTTAATTCCTCGTCTCTGGTTCAAAAACACTTTCAGCATTGACACAAGCTCTTGTCTCTGAGAGTGAAATAAACACACAAAGCTCCACACACTTCAAGCTACAAAAATAAAACCTGCAATTTACCCGGAGCTAAACACTGTTAGGATTTGATTGAGGGTGTCTTTTTTCTGTTCAGACAGCAACTTAGGATTCATTTTTTTGTGGAAGTCATCGTCTTTGCACTTTATAATGAACTTCTCGGGTAACTTTTCCAAACCTCTTATCAAACAAATTGTGTTGCCCTGCCCAAAATATCTTCCCCTGAATGTCTTTGAGCTGATTTCTTGTTGAAACACCGTCGCCGCGTATAAACTGCTCTGACTGTAAGTAAAGTGTTTGTTTGTTTGTTTGTTCTCAGACTGACGGTGCCTCTGCTGTGCTCATCATGTCTGAAGAGAAAGCCTTGGCTATGGGTTACAAGCCTAAAGCCTACCTCAGGTATCTGCACCCTCTCTGTTTGTCAGAGCACAATGAGATGTTAGTTTAAGTGCTTATACATTTTATATTTCTTTATCTTGGCAGAGACTTTGTCTACGTATCCCAGGACCCCAAAGATCAGCTGCTTTTGGGGTGAGTCCCTCTACATCATTTCAGCACCTTTTGTAGAAACAGTTTCTCTGTTGTCTGTTTCTCACTCTGCCCTTTTTGACTTCTTCAGGCCAACGTACGGTACACCCAAAGTCCTGGAGCGCGCTGGCTTGACGATGAATGACATCGACGTCTTTGAATTTCACGAGGCGTTTGCAGTAAGTTTGCTCTAAATATTTCAATAAGATACGCTCATTACTATATATACACTCATTATGATACCATACACTTTATTATTATCACAATGGGCAAATGTGTGTTAGACTGTAAGCACCGCCTCAACAGCAGTAATTAATAAATCACAATAGAAGTTAAAAACAATCCACATGTTAACAGAGAAGCACATGCAGCACCTTTAAAAACAACATAGTGCACATTACTCAGATTGACCAATCCCTACAGCCTCAGGTATCATTATTTAAATTACTATATATGATTAAAGTGGGCACAAACAAGTTTTTAAAAACAGTTCAGTTTGCTTTGGGGGACTCTGTGCGGTCTGCCACATGGCTAAGATTCAGAAAAAAAAGAGTAACTAATCAAAAAAGAGTATATAAAGGAAACATTTAGCAACATTCAGCATTCAGACAATTACAGTCGAGTGGAGGATGTGAGACGGGTCAAACAATAATGTCATTTAGGAGGAAAAGATTGTGAATGCTTGTGTGTTGTCTCCACTCCTCACTCCAGCTCAGACTGACATACTATATACAGATGTGTTCCTGCAACTTTTACTTCTCACTGCAGCAATTCAGCGTTAGAATTCTCCTTAAGCAGAACTCCTGGTTAAACAAAAACGATGATACTCTTTCACATAAGGGACTCTCTCCTAGTAAAAGTCAGACAACCTGCGCCTCTTAAATCGTCCTGAGATGGTTGTTCACACATTTTCCTCACAGTGGAAAGTTTTCCTTTAAAGGGATGCACAACAAAAGTGGACAAGCTTCAGAGTCCGCTGTGATTACTTTTATTTTTACTCAATATAAATTCCATGTGCCCTGATGTATTCACTGTTCAAATGCAGGAGCAGAGAAGAACACACAGACGAACAGAAAACATAATGAAGCAGCTTCAATAAATGCACAAAGATCCCACAGGTCACATGTCAGTCACATGATAAAAATGTCATCCCACCCCCCCCCCCCACCCCACATGTGGTGAATTTCCTGAATATTTCCTGCCGCGTTCACCTATCAGCTGCATTCTGATTTCTTGGGAAAAATCTGGTTGTTTGTGTTCACACGTGCAGCTCAACCTTAACATTTCTGGAAGTTTTAGGGGAACTGTGTGCATGTGTGAATAGGGCTTTGGAGCACTAATCTGAGCCTCTCAGTGGCAAAAAAGAAGCACTTTTATTGGACATCATGAAATTGGGTTGACTTTTTACTGGAGTATTTCTTAAAGTTTGTTAACTTAAAGACATCTACATCCCAGAATATGTAAATTAAGATTTAATGCCAGAAGTTTCTGTTAAAGTAAGCTTCAACTGTTCTACCTCAAATCCTGCTCATTTATATCAGAAGACATCATGCAAATGTCTGGTATCTATGGTAACCATATGTGTTTTGTGTTTCCAGGGGCAGATCATGGCAAATCTGAAGGCGATGGACTCCGATTGGTTCGGCCAGACGTACTTGGGCAGAAAGTCGAAGGTAAAGAAGGCTACTGATCTATATTTCTCAGGATGAATTTGGATGATTTCAATGCATTTGTGTAGAAAGTCAATTTTAGTAAATATAGTTCATAGGATAAAAATGTTCTATCATTTGGGATTTGTTAAATCAGCATTTTTATGTAGAACAGAAATAGCTTTCTTTTGTGTAGGAATCTGAATTTTTGGTTAACACAAAGACATTCTGAAATGTGTGTTGTTCATGCAGGTGGGGGCTCCTCCCATGGAGAAGTTCAACCTGTGGGGGGGCTCCCTCTCTCTGGGTCACCCGTTCGGTGCCACAGGCTGCAGGCTGGTGACCACAGTGGCACACCGGCTGAAGAAGGAGGGAGGACAGTACGGGCTGGTGGCTGCTTGTGCCGCAGGAGGACAGGTGATTAATGAAGGCTCGGGCTCGCTTTCAGTTTTTATCTTGTGTTTTTATTTTTTTAAATTTAAAACCTTTTTATTCTATTTGGTTGTTTTCCTCACAAGCTCGTTTTCTTATTTCCTCCAGGGTCACGCCATGGTCATCGAGGCCTATCCCCAATAAACAGAAAACATCATCTGCAACCTAAAATCTTCAGATTCACCATGACGACGACACGCTCGCTTACATCCAGACAACAGAGTGTACATACTAGCACCACTTTGCCTTGATCAGAGAAGTGTCGCATGCAGTACGGAGGGTGTTTAAGGGATCCTGTGTAAATTGAGCTTTTTAAATTATAGCATAGAGAATGTCGTCGAGGAATGTTTGCCTTTGATTTCGCGGACTTTGTGGTGCGACTGAGTCGATGTCGTCACTGAGTCGAATGTAACATAGTCAAATGGAAGCACTCAGAAGAGCAGGAGTGATCATCATGTTTATATTTGCTGTAAAATGTTTTTTCTAACCCACTGTTGGAATTAAATGGTGTGATGATAATCACATTAGAACACATTTTTTCAGTTTGCTCTTCTTTGTAGAGGCTCTTCCCCCCCCCCCCCCCCCCAGCTTTCATCCGGACATTTCATAACACTCTATTTTTTTCTAGTTAGCATAATTTGTATTTTTTTTACTTTTTACTTCACTGTATCATTACTACAGAGTTCAAACATCACAGCAGAATACTTATTCTCCACAACATCACATCTTTGGGTTTGAGCCTCTGGCCCAGTCATCAGTCAAAGAGCTAAATTGGGTTAATATGAAATAAAAGATGTCTTAGAAAAATGCAATTTTCAGGCAGCAGTGTGAAAAAGAAAAATAGCTGGTTTCATAACGCAAATTGTGGCGGGACATCTTTGGAACATTTTTGGATCTTATAACAGTATGAAAGTTTGGACGCTGGATGTCTGCCATTAACAGAATGTTTATTAAAAGTATTTTTGAAGGGATATCTGAAAGTTTTCTTCTGATCTGATAAGAAAATAAGCTTGATACCATCGAGTGTTTGAGTGTTCTAGATATAAATTATTATTAAAATGTTAAAATGTACCTTTGATAAATGTTCAATTTTTTCCTTGATTTTATTTTAGGGCGTTTTCCTTTATTTGTGCAGGACAGTGGGCAGTGTAGGACATTTGAAATACTAATTCTGGTTTACGCTCCCGTTATTTCAGAGACATGCTTCTCACACACGCACGCACGCACGCACAAACTGGAGCTGTGGACATGCATTAGTGGAGAGATGTCAGAGTGGGGCTGCTACACAGGGAGCGCACCAGAGTGGTTGGGGGTTCGGTGCCTTGCTCGAGGGCACCTCTGCAATATTTGGGAAGTGCCCTGGCACCTCTCCAGCTACCAGAACAACTTCCGTATTTTGGTCCTGCATGAACTGGGCAGAGAGAGAGAGAGAGAGAGAGGGGGGAATGACATGCAGGAGAGGAGCCACAGGTACAGACTTGAACCCGGGCGGTCTGCTTGGAAGACTATAGCCTCTGTACATTGGGTGAAAACCTATCCGCTAGGCCATCTGCACCCCATATGACAAATATTACACAGTACACAAACTTTCACAGTGAACATTATTTTCCTTTATGTTGTGGTTGTAGTTTAATCAGATTTGTCTGATACCATCAAACAATCCCACAACTTTCATTGTATTACAAACTACAAACAGATCTTGCTTGTCACTATTAGAGTTTTACATTTTTCTAATGTGAAGAAAACTGTTTTTTATGTGTGTAAAACACTGACTTTATACATCTCATAGATATAGATATTTTGCATAAATAGCTGATATAATAAGGTTGTATGGTAAACCTTTATAGAACACTGAATTGCAAAGAGTCATGTTTAGTCATCAGGCTTTAATATAGAATTAAAACTGCACAAAACATATGGGAGCAGCTTTTTGCATTTCCTCTTCTTTCTTTATTACACTGCACTGATTGAAGGCCTTGATGCACGGACAAAAACTTCAAGCACTTTTGATGGGTTATGTTTAATTCAGCAGGGACCGGAACTATTGCAAGAGAAAAAAGATCAATGTATAGACAGCTTTGTGTTGCAGATAGGAACAACAATAAAAGTGTTTTTTTTTTTTTTGGGGGGGGGGGGGGGGTAGATGTGTAGTCTATTCTTTAACTGATTTCCAAAATTTGCATTGCCAAAATATTTGTGCATTTGCATCCCGGCCTCTGTGTGCACCAGGATGTGTCAGCAGTAGATGGCTTGCTTAATTGATGGTGAATAACGCTGTCTGCTTGTGACGGGACGACTGATGTTAATGAGGAGGTGTAAAGAGGGATGCTGTGCACGCTGCTTCCTGCTGATTTAAAAACAACATGAGTATGTAGAATGTGGGATATGGTTGCTATACTTAAAAGTTCAGGCTGCGCACTGCTGATATTAAGTGTTCTTATTGTGGAGGGAAACGAACTTTTAACACCCGCCAAAGTGTTTGTGTAATTGACAGCGGATGGGTAAATTTATATCAACACATTGCCTCTCTTCTTCTTTTGGTGTGTGCGATCCCCTCAGCGCTCACCGGGGAGTCTGCTCTGCTCATCACTGGCGCGCAGGTGGGGGGGGGGGCTTGTTAACACAACTTCAGTCAGACACTTCCGTTTAAAATGTATTTAAAGATTTAATTCTTCCAGTTTAAGGAGCGGGAGGAGTTGATTAATGCCGAGCCGAGCCTGTCACACACACACACACACACACACACACACACGCACACACAGGCTACAGGCGGAGGGAATAAAACCAATGTTTTACTGCCGAGGCAAAACGGAGCTCGAATGTAAATAGCAGGGAGAGAGACAGAGAGAGGTTTTTTTTTTGTGTTTTTAAAGCTTCAAAAAACCGCCTCAACCCTGCGAGACACCGGAGACACGCAGACACACACACCGACACACGCCGACATAGCGGGGCCGCCTCCCCGCCGCCTCTCGCTGCCTCTGCGGGGCTTTGATCACACGGAACCTTTTATGGGGAATGACTGGCGAATGCACCCGCTGCTGTCACTACAAATCTACCTCACCGAGCGCGCGGGGGAGCGGCGTGGGGAGGGGAGGAAAAGTGGGTTGGGGTTGGGGGGGGTTTGGGAGAGAGAGAGAGAGAGAGAGAGAGAGAGAGAGAGTCGGTGTGCAGCGGTGTTTCTTTCATCTCGTCCTAGCCGGGCTCACGCGGGGCGCACCTGCTGAAAAAGCTGCACTTGACTCGCGCTTCTTCCACCTGCTCCGCGCGCTCTCAGTTGTGCGTACGTGCGCGTGTCTCTGCGTTTGTGTGATGTTTTACAAGTTTCTGTTCACTGTAGGCAAATGCGTATCCAGAAAGCCGTTATGAATATGCTTACAGGTGATTTCAGGGTCAGGGAGAGCTTTAAACAATGATTTAAAAAAAACAATGATCATATTTAAGTAGGCTAAAAGTAGCTGAGGCCTAATAGCTGCCTACGCCACAATTTGTGACATCCTTAAGGCCTAGTTAGCCTAGTTCTATATTATTAGTTAGGCCTATAGATAGTTTTATTGTGCTGTTTTATGTAGGCCTATATTTATGTTTTTTTTTATGACTTATGAAGTGTAGCCTAATGTTCACACAAATTAACTTTTTACATGTTCTTCTGTTTTAGACTAGTAGGCTATTTGCTGTTGTGTTTTCTCTGTTCAACCTGCCTGTGGACTACAGATGCAATTTAGTTATTATCCAACTCTGGTGCAATTCCAATTAACTGTTGGCTGCCCGTGTAAAACAATAAGCAATACAATAAACACATAGTTAACACATTTAAGTGTAGGCCTACAACTATATGTCCTGGGCGAGACACTAACAAAGTCAATAGTAGGGCTTTAAAGGGTTAAGTACAATAAGTTGAAACCAGTTTAGAAGCAACTACAATGACTTTTACTGGAAAGAGTTGACAGTGAAATGAGAGAAAGCATTAAAGAAAATGTAGGACTCTAAAATCAGATTGCTTTTGGAGATTGCAGATGTTTAGATGGATGCCTTGTTCAGAACTGTGTGTTTCTTTTGGATCATGCCTTCATAGTACTGTGCTTGGCTATAATTCACAAATTGGCCTCATGTCTGATATGTATGATGTATTAATCACACCTTTTCTCCTCCCTCTTATTGGTGTTATAGGGTCATTTTCCACTGCAGACTGCATTGAGGAAATCTCAGACAGGGACACAAATTCAGACCAAGTTTTTTTTTAATGAGTGATAGCAACTCTCAGTGACAAACTTATGTAATGTTTGACAGGTGTGACTTTCCAGAGGGACATCAGTGTGTAATTGGAGGTCAGTTTTACATCTGACATGATGAACGACAGAACTCTGTTTGTGACACAGCGTTCAGCACAGTCTCCTTCTCTATCCCTGATATCTTGATGTCTATGTTGGAGGTTTCCAATGTCCTCTGTACAGGATATGCACGACATTGCTATTTTAATTTTGGATATTCAAAACTAAATTAATGACTTGTAAAACCTGGATGGAAGATATCTGATTCCAAAGTTTTTTCAATAGGAATAATGTTATTATAAATATCCAGAATGATAACACTGGATAAAGGAAGAATGACGTTTTGTATAGACTGTCTTTAATTACAAATCTTACGAGTAAAAACAGAGTTTTGAGAAGGCGATATGCTCATATGGATATGTAAAATATAATGATGTGTTATCCATAGGCCTATGTTAAAACTGCATCCTATAGAGCAGGAGTTCCCAAACTTTTCATCCCTCGACCTCCAAAATAACGATGCGATAGACCGGGGACCCCTTCTGTCCAACACGCACTAATGGGCCTATCCAAACACTGACATTAGAGCAACAATAAATACAACAGCCTTAAACTAACTGAACAACATTTTTGTATGTAATTTCACAATAATAGGTAAAATATGTAATTTCAAGTTATTTCCAGTTTGCATTTGTTTTTGGAAGGCAACTCGCGACTCCCCTCCCAGTGTCTCGCGACCCCCCCCCCCCCCCCTCAGGGGGTCCTGAGCTCCACTTTGGGAACCACTGCTATAGAGAGTCCAGCCTGAAGGGACTTAAATGGACAGTTCATGATTGATGACAGTTCAGTTTGATCTGTAGACTGGAGATCTTTAGAGAGGAATAGTGTACCTGCACAGTGAGCATTTTAGGAGAACAGTTTGGTTCTGTGTTTCTGTTAACCCAGTACATTTGTTGTACACATTTTTTTTGATAATCTGTTTTCAGCTGGATTTCAATTACTTACTGGGCATTTTGTTTCTTCAGTGAACAACTACCAGATTCATTGTCATAAACACTCAAACATCCCGATGTGTCCCTGGCATGAAGTGTAACAGAAAGTAAGTCATAAATACAGAACATATTTCAAACTCTTTCTTTCATGTCCTTTGCTTCATGTTTTTGTGTTTTAACTCTGCCAGTCTCAACAGTAGGAACGGTCTGTTCATGTTAACTTAATGAAGATCTGACTGTGTTATGCTTCACTCTGCTTCAGATCATCAGTTGT